GGGGGGGGGGGGGCTGAAAATAGGACAGTTTTTCTACGTCGAATTGTTTGCTTTAAGATATTCAACAACTGGAGGTCGCAGGTTTTTTTATATACAGGATTTAACCATCAAGTGAACTCTGTAGCTGTTGATTAGCCTAAAAAAAAAGACATATTTGTTAAATTGAGGGCAATTTTTTCCCTTTTTTTAACCCCCCACCCTCTCCCCCTCTCTCTATCTCTCCCTCTCTCTCTCTCTCTCCTGTGCTCCTGGCTGCATCAGGAGGTCTGGTATAAAAAAGCCTGTCAAGCCCACAGTGGCCACTTTACTATCAGTCAGGGAGGTCAGACAAGGAAGGAAGGGAAGCTCAGGGTGCGAGGAGACACACAGCGAGAAGCTCGGTGAGTGAGGATGCAAAAAACAAACCAACAAACAACACTTGTGCAACATTTGAGCTGCTTTTGTTTTAAAAAAGAGTTTTAAGAGAAGTGCGTATAGATGTTGGAGCAGTTCGGTTGGCAGATTAACTGCACCAGGCCTGGGGTAACAGGAACGCAGAACTTTGCCTTATTTTTGTGTGTTTTTGGCGTGTGATTGTGAAGCGTTGTGTGGATGCATTGTGGACACTTTCTTGTTTTATTGGAGGCTTTTGCAACAGTTTGATCACTGCCTGCAGCTTTTATTTTTTATTTTTTTTGCTTGGTTTAATTTCAACAGCCTAATGCCCTAGAGGCCATGCCTGCAGTAATTTCTTTTTTTTTTTTTTACATTTGAATATATTAGATTGCAATAAAACCAACTGGGTTCTTAGCAGCAGAGCAGCAATTAAAAAACAAAAAACGTGCTTTCCAGATTGTAAATTGTCGCCTTAACAGTCGGGTGTTTGAAAGAATTTCTATTCTCTTAACGGAAAATGCCAGATTGTTTGAAATGGTAGAATAAATCTACTAATTATGTTTTAAGTTGCCTCGCTGCATTTTTCTAATTGGGATTTCGTGAACAATGAGCTGTTTCAGGAATTCACTGCTTCCAAAATCAAATTGTGACACAGCAGATAGGGATACTGCCTCTGTCTGTGCTCTGAAACCAAACAGGAAAACTGTCTTTGCAGCATGCAGAGAGTGTGTGTATATATTGTGATTTATAAATGAATAGAATAAGACTTTACTTTTATGTGTGCTCTGCTTCAACCCAGAGTAATTTAGCTCTTCATGCCACCTGTTTTTTTTTATTTTTTGAACAGTGAAAATGTATTTATTCCTGGAGGTTTGTGCCTTCTTCTAATGTAAAATACCTTCTTATGAGTGTATTCAGAAGCTGCTGCATGCCTTGTGGTCCCATTTAAAAGCAGCTGATGTGTGTGTGTGTGTGTGTGTGTGTGTCTCTTTGCTCTTGTCGGTGCAGACTGCAGTGTGTCGTGGTCGAGTTGGTCGTCTGGGTCGCTGCTGCCGCTGCCGCTGCCGCTGCTGCTGCTGGGAGACTTCCAGGGCTTCTTGAGCGGCTCTGAAGGATGACCGCTGCACGGCTCGTTGCTGAATCCCGGTGAACGAACGGCGTCTCATGTCCAAACGGCGGAAGGATGGCTCATGGCAAAGTGACCATCACGGTGGACGAGTACAGCTCCAACCCCACACAGGCCTTCACACACTACAACATCAACCAGAGCCGCTTCCAACCTCCACATGTCCACATGTAAGTGCACGCAGTCACACACACACACACGCACACGCACACACACACACATTGCGGATCACCTGCCAGGAGCTTGTAAGAATTCAGGATATTTTTTGTACCTGCTATAATGAATTCACATATATTTTCATCCTGCCAGTTTTGAATCTTAAATCAAATATATAAGGACACATTTAAGACATCTAACTTTTAAACATATATTCATTCAGGTGTTTTTTTTTAATCTATTTTTATTTATTTTCACATTTTATTTTTTGGTAGTTTCAGACTGCTTTTGTATGAAGTTTTAAACAAGTTAATAATCCAGACTGAGCAAAGAAAAAGCAGAAATTAAGACATTTTTAAGGTGCAGCAGGAAGCCAATCAGGATCCGGTTTGATGCAGAGTCTTTGTTTATACTTTGATTTAATTGGCTCAAGCTCAGAGAGGGTACGGTGGCCAGCGAGGACAAACTTTGAGAGTCCACAAACTGCACTGTGTGACATTTGAGGAAATAAAATATCACTGTTAAAGTGTGCAGGGAGTGTGGCAGGTGAAGCATATCGACAAACACTAACAACCGAATGCTTTCTGCGGTTCACGCAGATTTGAGCTTTTCTGACTCTGCAGTTTTTTTTTTCTGCCTGTCGTGTGTGGCGGCCGGCTCGCCACTGTTCCTTGCGGTCACTCTGTGAGACTGTTATCATTTGTGCCATGTTGTCATTGTGGTGCATGAACACTTTGTCTGCATTAGGGCGCTCTCTTTATTTATTTATCAGACCAGTTACTTAGCATTGCTCTTGTCTGATGTGGTTACACTCTGCCTCTCATTAGTGGGTCAGAGCGCTGTGACCCGTCAGCCCTCGCCACGTACAGACTCATCAGAGCGCTGTGTGTGTGTGTGTGTGTGTGTGTTTCATCTGTGGACAGATTTTAACACAGAGCAGCGTGTTTGCGTGCTTTGTGTCGTTGCCCAATTACAGCAGTTTGGAGGTTTTTCTAAAAAGGCTTGTGAGTGATTGTTGGTTGTGGTTACATGCACAGTGTGCTTGAGACATTTTACATTCACAGAGCGTGTTTGGTTAAAAGTTAACCTGCAGGAGAGACAGGAAGTGATTGAAGAAGAACAAGAGAAAGCTGTCTGCTGCTTTTATTGTCATAGTGGATTCGTTTGTCGCTTCACTTTATTGTGCTCTCTATTCTTTATTGGGTAATTTCGGTTGGATTTGGCTGCTTTTAGATGCACAATTATTTATTTAATTTGAAGAAAAGCAGACACATTCCTACGGCCTCTTTTTAATTCCTCTTTGGCACCTTCTACATTACACGTGCAACAAGTAGGGATAAATAAAATATTTAAAAATATGACATAATTAAATATGAAGCGTGTCGGTGCTGATTTTACGCTTCAGAACAACTTGACGTTAATTTAGGTTTCAGAAAGTCACACAGTGAACAGGCATTAATGTGAGAAAATTGAGTTCATGCTAACACGCTACACGAGTGTCATTGTAGTCTTTGTTATAGACACGTTTGAACGTTTTTATATGTAAATACAACACTGCAATCCTCGAGTCCTGACACATAATATAATTGTTGAGGATAAAAACGCAGTTAGAAAGGGAAAATAGCAATTTCACAGATTGTCAAGTCGAGTTAAAAAAGACTTATGATTGACAAATAACAGTTTCTTTACCACTAGTTTAAAACTCGTCTCTACCGGTTGCTGCATTGATCCTGAGACATTGTTCCAGAAAACAGCAGCACTTTATAAACATATATTTTTGACTTTGAACCCAAATATCTAAAGGGACTAAGATTAATTGAGCTACTGCATCTCTTGTTGTATAATTATGGCAATCTGATCTGATCTGATCTGAAAGTAAGCAGACTTAGAGACATAAATGGAGTTCTCTGTCTTTTTTAATTGACATTAATGGACATGAGACAGGAAATGCTGTTCAGTCTTTTCCCGTAGTCAGTCCTTCGTCCTGAGCGGCGCTCAGGTTGCACGTGTGCGCACATCTTCGTGTTACGTTGAAGTGGAAGGGAAGTGGCGTCTGCGTAGAGTTGAACCAGCGATACTTATGACGTGCCCGACACGGAGATCATGCAGATACATAAAGGAGACGTTTTTAGACAGATCAGAGCTCTAGAGGAACACTTGGGCACCAGTGTAAGATCTGTGCAGACTGAAGAACAACCTCACTTCTGGCATCAACAACATCTGGCAAACAAGTTGTTTTTTTTTATAATTTTGTTTACCTCAAACACTCAGATTCCCACAATTCTGTCTGGATAATCATGTTCATGTAAACAGGATTATTTTGGGGAGATGGTTAAATTATGGAATCGTGTAAACAGCTAAATGGAGCTCTTACGTTCCTCCCGCTGCTGGCAGCGTTCACATTATTGTGCTACTGTGTTGTTTTGGGATTCCTCAGCTGTGAAGCAGTGCTGCCAGCACAACGAGCGCAGATGAATGTGGAAAAGGAGACGAGGTCACCTAGCCGTTTGTGTTACGTCAGTCCATTTTAATGGTTGACAAAGACGGCAATAAATCAGGTCAGACGCTTCAATCTGAATGGCAGTTAACACACGGCAGACAGCACAGGGTTCATCACAACACTTTCTAGTTTGATGTTTGGAGAGGCTCCCTCAATTTTTTTCCGTATGACGAAGCAAATAACAGATGGTACAACCAATATTTTCAGGCTTTACAGAACATGACAGAATGACCTCCGCAAAAGGTTCCATTTTGCCTGAAATTTCACCGCTTATTCTTCCATTTATTATTATTTTATGCTTCTGCGATTGACGGTGACAGGTTTTGTTTTCAGTTCCCTGGAAAGTCTAGGTATGGTTCATCTCAGGGCTTTAATTCTGCAGCGTTGCACCGGTTGACCTTTTGGTGAAGTTCAGCTGGAGACGCAGCAGAGAAACCTTACATAAAACCTCTTTGTCGGAAAAAGGACAAACAAGCAAAGTGGGAAAAGAATGAATCTGCCTGACGTCGAAGAGGAAACCCCCTGAAAATGATCAAGTTTCTAAAAGTGGATCATCATCTGTCATCTGGAGACACGTTTAGTTCTTTACTTCCGCAGATGGACGGGGCAGACAAGAGAGAGCAGATTTGGTGGAAGTTCTGCCTTGTAAAAGCAGTAGCGTGTGTTTGATTAGGTGTCGTTAGGTAAAAAAAGGATTATTTAGCGCGGCGAGCGCGCGGTCAGAACAACGCGCAGGGAGTTCGAAAAAGCAAGGATTCTTTGCAGGCTCGCTGGCTGGTGCCGTGTGAGAAACTCCCGCCACCCCGGCTCGGTGAGGTTTGACAGGTGTGTGTTAAGGTCAGAGGAGATTTCCGTCTAAACCTTCCTTGGAACAACTTGGAGACGAACCGATTACCCCGTGTTTAGGTCTACATATCAGTATCGAACTCGATTTGTATGGCGATATGTGACAAGTCGGCTGCTGGGCTCGTTTCCATTTTCACTGTGGCGCTAGTACTTTGGAGGGTTGGGAAGGCCCCCTGTAAGGACGGAAGGGAGTGTGTTAAGCCGTTGGGCCCTCTCAAGGGGCAGATATGGTGGTTTGGATAAATAGCATTAGGCGTTTCGCGTTTCCTGGCCTTGCCACAGGGAGTCCTCGCAGTGGTTTTACCCCTGCCGATTTCTTGAGAACTCTAGAACGCTGGGAACCCGTGGATGCCACACTGCCTATGAAGGCCCATTGCGGCCCCCGCTATGTAGCGTTTAACTCGGTGGCTGCGTAATAGAGATACGCGCTCTTTCTGGGAAAACGTAAGGCTGGGTTTACGGTTAGGAGAGCATCAATGATGGCCGACTTGCTTGGGGGTTCTCGCACTCTACTGATCCCACAGCACTGGTTGTAGCGATAAGGATAAGCAAGTTGTTGTCTTCGTTTTAGAAGCGCAAAGGAGATGAGGGTTTTGCCTGGCCTTTTGAACCATAATCACAATCCGCTGGCTTCTAATGGTCCCCCCGCTTCCCGCCCGCCGCTAGACAGAATATTTAGTTGTTCTGGGTGATGGAGTGACAGCAGGCGGTTTTTGTGTGGTGTTGGAAGGTATGGCTGCTCTGCGAACCTCTCATATGAGGAAACCATGCACTGGTAGGAGCGATGTCACACACTCACAGGTTGACACAGCACCACACACACACACACACACACACAGTGGCAGGTGTATAGGCTACTATGCTCAGGAACGTGTACCGCTGAAGGCAAGAAGGTGGGGCTTTGTCTTTGGGGCACATTGGATGCGTGCGTCTCTGCTCGTCTCTCGTCCTCTCTCTGCTCTCTGTCTCTGTCTCTGTGTCTGTAAGTGAGCGACAGACTCAGTCCAGCCCTGTTTGTGTCTGGTTTATTTTTCTGCGCCGTCTGTGTTTTTTTTTTTTTTCTTCCCTCTGCCCCCTCATCGTCGTCTCGTGAAATGAAATGCTCACCAACTAGGAACATATGCTTCGAGTTGGGACACTAATGGCTTCAAATCCAATTTGAGCAGGATCTGGGCCAGACTGCGGGAAGGCCCGACGCACAGACGCAGACGGACAAACTGACAGAGATTTGAAACTAAAAGGGCTTTCGACTGGAGATCTGGGGGTGTTTTTTATGATTTTTGTGAGCCCTTAAATAGTTCAGAAATGTCTTGAATTTAAGCACTGAAGAAGTCTTAAGATGTCTCAAATCCTGTTATTGGAATCCAGAAGAAGGTTAGCAGCAAATCATTTCTACAACATTTTGAAATAATTGCTCTGAACATTTCCTGGGGCCGTATTCTCAAAGCTTCACAAATCTGCTGTGATGTTTCCTTAGAATTAAATCCTAGTAGGGCTGCAACCCAGTGATTATTTTCATTATCAATTACTCTGTTGATTGTGTTCTTTTCAATTGATCCTTTTTAAAAGTAAGTAAATTGGCCGTCACAATTTCTCACAGCCCACGGTGACGTTTTCAGACTGCCTATTCTGGCCTGACAACAGTCCAAACCTCAAAGATATCCCCAT